TCGACCACGAGCTGTTCACGAACAAAGAGTCCTTTTAACAACCCTTAATCATGTAGCCATAAGATAATAAGATTTGAGCAAGATTTAAAAATTATTATTTATATTAAAACATCATTTGAATCTAATTTAGTAATTTTTATTCTATTTTCTTAATCAATATTTTAATTGATTATAAATCTTTGTAGCCTTGTAGTCAATTACATTTTTTTTTAAATACTACTTAATATATATATATATATAGATATATATATACACATTTGATGAGTAGTATTTCAAGCCAAAACGAGCCGAACACGAACGAACACATCTTAGTTCGTGTTCAGTTCGTTAACTTATCGAACGAAATTAACGAGCTGAACGCGAGCTTCTTAACGAGCCGAACACGAGTGGTTCGCGAACAACGAGCCTTTTTGACAGCCCTACCTTCAGCCTATCTCTATTAATTATTCCTAATTATTTTATCATAAATTTATATTTTACTAATGCATTTTGTTTATTATATCCTTCACATTGAAATTAATATTTCTCCTACTTAGCACTTCAAATAATAATAATAATAATAAAATTTTCTTGCTTCTCTAAACTGAATTGAAAGAAGAGGAAGAACATATTATGTTTGACGTCTAAACGTCATATAGACGACGGTGTAGATCGCACCGCACAGTGTGCACGACGTCACGATTCGATTTAAGTTGCCGACCACATATCAGATTAGCGGGGACCTAATATTTTTCCATATTAAGTGCATAAGCTAATTTAATCAAAGTTTCCATTCAAAGTTCTCACTTAAGTTCTAGGATATATAGATGCAAACTAAGCTATACATACATTAAAAAAAAAAAAAAAAAAAAAAAAAAAAAAAAAAAAAAGCTAGAAGATCAATGATAGTCTGCATAGAAGCATCTCATCATGAAGACCACAAAAACATACGCTTAGCTTAGCTTCTCCGGCGCAGCCGTCGTTGCCGTCGCCGTCAACGAACTAAATGAAGGCGGAACAATAATTGAAGAAGATACCTTAAACCTCTTCCTATCTTCCTCTTCCAATCTCCCATCTATTTCTCCCATATCCAGATCAAACCCTAACTCCCACCTCCATCTCTTCTCCTCCTCCCCCACCCCTCCGAACTCCACACTCTTAGCCCAAAACTCATTCAACATCTTCTGTGGATGAAAGATGCTAGCCATGGTGTGCTGATCGCTCACCCTCATCCACCCATTCGTCCTCCTCTCCGCCGCCGATCTCTCCACGATGCTCCTTATTCTCCTCGTCAATCTGGCCTTCGCCGTCATAGAGAGATCGCCCGCGGCTTGATAGCAGTGCGGCCGTCCAATGCCACCAACGCCACCGCCAGCCGCCGCCGCCGCTGCTGTAAAATTTGTACGCGTGTTATCGCCCCGTAAAGCACGTGCGGCCTCATCATAGGCTCGCGCAGCTTCCTCAGCCGTATCGTAGGTTCCGAGCCACAGTCGAATGCGCTGCGATGAATCCTTTATCTCCGCCACCCATCGTCCAGAAGGCCGCCGCCGCACGCCGACAAAGCCGCTGCGGCTGTCGCCCTTCTTCATCTGCTTTTTCAGCTTCTGATCTTCACAAGTGGACATGGCCGGCAACTAGCTTGAAGAAGAAGAGAGTCAAATATATGGTAGGGTCTCTTGTTGCTTAGTTTCAGCAGGTCTGTGATATTTATATCAGAGTTTGGTAAGTAAATTAGGGTTAGGGTTTGGTTATATAAGTATTTTTTTAAAGGAATTTGAGGAGCATGCCAATATAATAAAACAAGCATATAAACAGTAGGGGAAAACTTGTTTAAGAAATTTACTATGCATATAGAAGAAGGCCGGCCACATGAGTAAATATTATGTGCATTGAACACATGTCCAGATGAGTTACATCGGAAACACGACGGCATGGCCATATGCAGATCGTCATCCGAATGTACGGTTCGCCACACTTAATATTTTCTATAATCACATGGTCAAGAGATATAAGTGTTGTTTCGATATATACCCCAAATTACGTGTGATCAGTCGTAAATTTGGCCGACTCTACATATGCGATCAAGCAATTGTGGATAGCACTGCAGCTCGTCCAGATCGAGTGATGCTCCACATTAATCGCCCAAATAGATCAAAATAAAGCAATTCCTCACATAGATATTATTATTATTATTATTATTATTATTATTTATGATTTTAATTATGCATTTTTTAAAATAAGGCAATGGGAATTATGATTATTTTTTTAATATATTTGTCGTTTGCATGGGCCTTAAATTCCAACTCTCTTACACGAATCTACTTGTGACTGTCTGCATGCTAAAGAGGACTTATTAATTATTTTTAATTAATTAATTTCATAATTAGATTCCTTAATTATCTTAATCTCGCTTGGAGCCGTCTATAGGGAAAGCAACGCAGCTGAAGAGCTTTCTAATAAACTTGTTTTAAGAGTACTTTTAATATTAACTGTACATTATTAATTAATGCTAAATTCGGTGATTAAAGCGATAATAAGATGTCATTATTACAATTATTTCATTCATACCCCCTCAATTCTTATGTATTTACATATCTAGCACCTAAAGATTTGGAGGGGATGCATGTAAAAATTAAACTTTTGTTGCTAGGTATGTAAATAGATAAGAATTGGATGTTATATATGTAAATTCTCCTTATATTTTTAATATATTGGTGTCATGTGATATGAGATTTTAGGTGTTGGAAATGTAAATACATAAAAATTGTGGGGTATGTATGTAAATGCTGGCATGAATAAAAGAAAGAAATTTAATATTAGACCTCATATATAAGCTACAAAACACTAATCAATGACCAAAAAATTAACTTTTATTGATATTAGATTAAGTAATAAATGGTCATTAATTATCTTCTTGACACTTGGCTCAAGAAAATTTTTTTGCAATTTGGGAATTTACATTACTAGTCTCAATTATCTTTTGTAGTTTTGCTTTTGGGTTTAGTTGGTAAAATAATTTGTTTTTCATAAGGTCCTCATAATTCATAGATAATTAATTATCTTCTTGACACTTGGCTCAAGAAAATTTCTTTGCAATTTAGGAATTTACATTACTAGCCTCAATTATCTTTTGTAGTTTTGCTTTTGGGCTTAGTTGGTAAAATAGTTTGTTTTTCATAAGGTCCTCATAATTCATAGATAATTACATATCTAACACCTAAGCTTCAATTTATATATTCGTGCCACCTTATCTATGAATGAAAATTTATATTTAACTTTTTTAAAGTTAAAATTGTGATAGTTTTGATGTGATATGAGAAAATGAAGTTTAAGGGTTAGATATGTAAATAGATATGAATTGGGATATGTTTATGTAAACAAAAAAATATGTTGGCATGAATCTCAGGGCAATCAAATGTCTCAAAAAGAAGGGGCAGCCGGTTGAGCCACTGATCATCGGTAGCCACCAAGGACGAACAGGCTTTAGACGATTGTGCCGAAAAAAGAGGGGGCAGCCGGTTGAGCCACTGATCATCGGTAGCCACCAAGGACGAACAGGCTTTAGACGATTGACCGAGACCTCGAACGACCGCCAACAAGCTCTTCGAACAACTACCAAAAAACCATCTAACAAGTGGCATATCGACCCATACGATCTCTTTAGAAGCCAACACACTTTTTAGGGATGGTTGTGAGTTAGACTTAGTTTCAAGAACAAAATAATTGTCATTCTCATGTAGCTTTATTTTTTGTTTGTCTAATCATTTATCACAAACAATTGAACTTGATGATTTTCAATGAGAATAATATCTTTCTTCTCAATAAGATGTTCACCATACGTGTGAATATAATCATTCTCCTATTGTGTCTCCTTTTTTTTTATATGTCTTTCAATTTTTCTAACATTATGATGATTAATATGAAATTGAACTTTCTCACATGGTGCAATTCTTCCTTTAACCCCAACATGATGTTGTTCATCCCGCTTATGCCTCCACCTTTATATATCAATCCATAATGTCAACATTTAAACTATTTCTTCCCATAAGAAAATCTGAATTTCACTAAAATGATTCCATGTTAGATAAAACATTTCACGAACATTAAAGGAAAAAAAAACATAAGATTAACTTCAAGATGACTCCATATAGGAATAACAAAGAGACAAATTTGGAATAAATTATATATATATATATATATTTCATATATGCCTTATATTTTTGTATCACACCGTATTGCAATGGGTCAGTTTAGAGGCCAAGGAGGTACCCAAATATGTATATATATTTCATATATGCCTTATATTTTTTTATCACACCGTATTGCAATGGGTCAGTTTAGAGGCCAAGGAGGTACCCGAATATGGTCGTATGTGTGTGTGTGTGTGCTTGTGTGTGTGCGTACGTGCGTGTGTGCGTGCGTGCGTGCGTGTGTAGCGTGCGTGCGTGCGTGCGTGCGTGCGTGCGCGCGTGCTGTGTGTTGGGTCTCGTATTGTTCTTGGGTTCCCACAGCTTGGGAGAAATTTGTGCAAGGAGAGTGAAGGAGAAGAATGGATGTGTTCACCAAGCCTGAACTATATGTTATTATAATTTTTCTTCCTATGAAGAGAGATCGTGATCTAACAAGCAAAGAATAAAAGAGAGAGGAAGCAAAGGAGGCCCAGAAAGTTATAACATGCGATTTCCGAAAAAGGTCTGGAAGAGAGCATACTCGTCCTTGGATCTCTCTGACCTATATTTATACATATTATAAAAAACATTAGAATATGAGTTACTTAAAAGTCTGTCTACAATGTCTTGATGAAATGATTGTGACGTGAATGTCAGACTGCTCATAAATGAGAATGTGGCATATATCAATTCTTAATGATGGCATTGACCTTTAGCATTCTGTCAATTATGAGGATCACTGTTGACGTAGCCTATGTAGATGAATATGATTGGTTAGTCCTCTAGCTTAATGCGTTAGATCACTTCGTCGGATCAATCTAGCTCCTCGATGAGTGGGGTCAACGAACCACCTTAGCAGCGTATTCCAATTGAGATTGTATCTTTCAGTACGTGGGCTTATCATGCCCATAAGGTCTGCCACATGCATTGTCTTGCCCACAAAAGCTGATTTTTGATATATACATACATATAAGGCTGTCACAAAAGCTCGTTGTTCACGAATAATTCACGTTCAGTTCGTCAATGAGTTCGTGTTCGATTCGTTCGATAAGTAAACGAGACAAACATGAACAATTTTTTTTTCTTCTGGTTAGTTAAACGAACCAAATACGAACAGTGATGCGTTCATTCGTGTTCGAAATATAAAATAATTTAAAATAATTATCTATTAAAAAAATAAATTTTATAAATTATAATATATATA